AGAGAGAGAGAGAGAGAGAGAGAGAGAGAAACATCAATGATGAGGGAAAATCATTGATTGGCTGCCCTTGCACACCTCCTACTGGGGATGGAGCCTGAAACCCCGGGGCATGTGCCCTTGACCGGAATCAAATCCGGGACCCTTCAGTCTGCAGGCTGCTGCTCTATCCAGTGAGCCACACTGACTAGGGTAAGGCCTGGCTTTTATTTATTGCTTTGTGTCTGGCCCGTAGTATTGTGACTGGCACTTAGAAATCACTCGATAAATATGTACGGAATAAATGAGTTTATCAGTATGTACAGAGGGGGACTGAGTTTCAGCACTGGAATGTGGGTGTGGGCTCTGGAAGGCTGACCAGTAGGAGACCCGTAAGTGGAAAAGCTGGCATTTAATCAGGCACATTGTTCCCTGTGTGAATAAATTGGGTTATTTGAATAATGATTTGCTTTTGTATTAATTGAACCCAGACTTTCTCTCTAGGGGAAGGTTCGTATGCCCTCCTCCTTTTGGTAGAGACTGCAGTGTGTTCTCCAAAACCAGCTTCATTTCCCTCCCAAATGCTCTGCTGAACTACACTTCCCAGACTTCCTTGCAGCTAAGCATAATGGGAGTGAGTACTGGCTGGTGGAAATGGGAAGAAGCGATGGATGTTACTTCCTGGCCTGGCCAAGAATAGGCTCTCATCCAAATTCCTCTAGACTCTCTTGGTCTTTGTCTGTCGGCCAGAGGCAGAGCATCCTGTAGTTCGTGGGCAGGAGGAACCCCAAGAGGAAAGAAGCTGGATCCCTGCCAACGAGAGGCACCCTCGTTGGATTTTACAGGAGCAAGGAATGAAATGTGTTTTGGGGGAAGCTTCTGATACTTGGGAGTTTGTTACAACCGCTGTTCTCAGTAACCTGATAAACACATACTTTAAAAATCCAAACCCAGGGCTTCATGGACACGCGTGCTTGCCTCGTGGCCCCAGGTTAGGAATCTCTGGAACGTAGAATGTGATCATTGAAAAAGAATGTCACGCACCCGGCTGCCATGGCTCAGTGGTGAGCTTCAAGCTGTGAACTAGGAGGTCACGGTTTGATTCCTGGTCAGGGCACATGTCGGTTCAATCCCCAATAGGGGACACACAGGAAGCAGACAATCCATGATTCGCTCTCATCATTGATGTTTCTCTCTCTCTTCCTCTCTGAAATAAATTTTTAAAAAATTTTTTCATATAAGAAAAAGGACTTAATGGAATTAAAGTGCATGAGTATGAGTTGTTGTTTTTCTATTTTATTTATTTATTTTTTTAACTAAGGAACAAGGACGGGCCAGGCAGTAAAGGATTCTCACTGGAGAGAATGTTTCCCCATAACTCGCACGGTTACATAGATAACCACGGTCTCACTGTGCTGACCGTACAATTTTTGGGTGGATAACTAATTAGTTAAATTTGGGGCCGTGGTGGCGGTTAATTTAGATTCCAGGATCCATTAAGAATGCAGCAGCCCTGGCTGGGTGGCTCAGTTGGTTGGAACTTCAATCCGTGCACCAAAAGGTTGCAGGTTTGATTCCCCATCAGGACACATACCCAGGCTGCAGGTTTGGTCCTCAGGTCAGGTACGTACAGGAGGTAATTGATCAATGTTTCTCTCTCCCTCCCTTCCTCTCTCTTTAAAAAATCAATGAAAATCAGGTGAGGAAATGGCATTATACTAAGCGGAATAAGCCAGTCGAAGAGAGATACATATCTCATGATCTCACTCATATGTGGGATATAATGAGCAACATGATTTCATGAGCAAGAGTAAATCAAGCCAAAGCCAGTTTGGCTCAGTGGATAGAGTGTAGGCCTGTGGACTGAAAGGTCCCAGGTTCGATTCCGGTCAAGGGCATGCACCTTGATTGCAGGCACATCCCCGGTCAGGGGTGTGCAGGATGCAGCTGGTGGATGCTTCTCTCTCATCGATGTTTCTAGCTCTCTCTCCCTCTCCCTTCCTCTCTGTAAAAAATCAATAAAATATATTTTTTAAAAGAATAGATCGATCTAGGGACAAATGGTGAGGGGTGCGGGGGGAAGGGGTGGTTAGAGAGCAACCAAAGGACTTGTATGCCTGCATATTAGCATAACCAATGGGCAAAGACGTGGGGGCTTGCCCGGGGCGGGAATGGCTGGAGGGGGGTCAATTGGGGGAAAAGGAGACATATGTAAAACTTTAGACAACAACAACAACAACAATAATAATAATAAACAACAATAATAATAAAGAGCATAGCCCCCCACATACTAGAGTGGCTACTATGGGGAAAAAAGGCAGAGAATAACGAGTGTTGGCAAGGATGTAGAGAAATCGGAACACCAGTGCACCGTTGGTGAGAATGTAAAATGGTACAGCTGCTGTGGAACACAGCGTGACAGTTCCTCAAAGAAAATAGAAAAATATATAATTAATCTACGACCCAGCAGTTCCACGTCTGGGGACACGCCCCCAAAACGGAAAGCAGGATCTCAAAGAGAGGTTTGTCCACCCAGGCTCACGGCGGTATTGTTTGCAAAAGCCAAAAGGCAGCTGAAACCGGTTTTGCTCAGTGGATAGAGCCTCGGCTTGGGGATGGAAGGGTCCCAGGTTCGATTCCGGTCAAGGGCATGTACCTTGGTTGCAGCACATCCCTGGTGTGAGGTGTGCAGGAGGCAGCTGGTCGATGATTCTCTCTCATCGATGTTTCTAGCTCTCTATCCCTCTTCCTTCCTCTCTGTAAAAAATCAATAAAAATACATTTTTTTAAAAAGCCAAAAGGTGGAAGCCACCCGAGAGTCCATCCGTGGGTGCATGGAGAAACAGGATGTGGTACATATGCAGACCGTGGAATGTTATCCAGCTTTAAAAGGAAAATTAATGCTGACACGTGCTACAACATGGACGGATATGGAGGACTTTATGCTGAGCTGGTCACAAAAGAACCAATGCGCACGATTCCCTTTCTGTGAAGCCCCCGGAACCATGGACCTCGTAGAGACAGGAAGTCAGATGGTGGTGGTCAGAGTCTGGGGGGCGGGGCGTGGAATAGAAGGTGCTTAATGAGGACAAAGTGAAGAGTCCTGGATATTGGTTGCCCAACAGTGTGAATGTACTGAACACTACGCAGCTGTGCACGTCAACGTGACTGAGAGGGTGAACTGTATGTTCTGGGTATTCTACTACAAGTAAAAAGATAATGTCAAGGGAATGTTTAAGTTATGCAATGAAGTTAAAAATAATGTAAATGACCTCCAGTCAATTGAAATTATAGAGCTGGTTCCTTATAAAAAATTTTAACTTATTTTAGAGAGGGAGGAGTGGAAGGAGAGAGAGAGAGAGAGAAAGAGAATATCAATGTGAGAGAGAAACATCAATTGGTTGCCTTTCCCTATACACACCCCAACTGGGGATCGAACCCGCAACCTAGGTATGCACCTGACTGGGAGTCAAACCCATGACCTTCTGGTGCAGGAGACGATGCTCCAGCTAACTGAGCCACATCAGCCAGGGATAGAGCCCCCTCCCCCCCGCCGCCGCCTTTAAATGGACATAGTATTTGCATTCCCCCTGCCATATACTGAGCATCCTTGAAAGATGCTTGTGTCCATTCTATTTCTTCCTCCTTCCTTCCTTTCTTCCTTCCTTTCTTCCTTCCTTTCTCTTTCTTTTTCTCTTCCTTCCTTCCTTCCTTCCTTCCTTTCTCCCTTCCTTCCTCCCTCCCTCCCTCTCTTCCTCCTTTCTTCCTTCCTTCCTTCCACCTCTCTCTCTCTCTCTCTCTCTCTCTCTCTCTCATTTTCAGAATAGCCCCATGAGGTAAATGCCTCTGCTCCTTTTCAGCGAGTTGAGAAGTGACCTCAGAGAGGTTGCATTGCTTGATCAAGGTCACACGGAGCAATCGGGTCCAAGCCCCAGTCTGCCAGGTTCCTACTAAGCCTTCTTGGACTCAGGAATCATTGCTTTTGGCCCCAATCCCCGCCCCCAACCCCACCACTTTCCAGGACACTCACCTCCACTTGTCTGGCAGGAGTAGAGGAGGCAGGTCATCCAGCCCAGCAGGCACGTGGACCATCGGGTCATCTCGGCCAGCCTCTTCTCCCTGCATCGAAGGAAGAAGCATCGGTGCCCCCGTGGGTCCCTCCCCTCTCCCACCAACACCCACGTGCAATGCCATGCCTGCCATCCCCTCTGCCGTGACGATTCGCTGGGATCACAGAGCAGAGCAGGTGACACCCATGGAGTTCCACACACAGGACTCGACGTGCATTAAACTCCTGGTCATGGCCCGAGGACCTAGATGCTGTTATGACACCCATTGCATAGAAGGGAAACCGAGGCACAGAGAGCGTAAGCAGCCTTTGCTGAAGATCACACACATGTTGTAAGTGGTGGAGCTGGGAACGGGACTCTGACAGCCTAACTCTGGACCCTGATGGATGCCGCCTCTAGGCTTGGCATGGGACCTACTGTGTGCTGAGCATGGGACCTGCTGTGTGCTGAGCTCCCCATGGATGCCAGCCCAGGGGTGTCCTTGTCCAGAGCAGACATTTCCAGCCATAAACTGATCACTAAAATTTGGCGGCAGAGTTGCCTTTTCAACTGCCGCCTGGACATGCCCCTCTGGGGCCGTGGCCGGCCAACTGCGGCTCTCGAGCCACATGCGGCTCTGTGACCCCTGGAGTGCGGCTCTTCCACAAAATACCGCCCGAGGGTGCGCACGTGCAGGTGCGATTGACACTTCGTGGCCCATGCGCAGGAGTCGGATTTCGGCTCTCAAAAAAAGAAATTTCGGCTCTTTCTCATCTTGCAAGATGGCGAGTGAAAAGAAAACCGAGAAGCCGGATACTAAGGAGAAGAAGCCAGACACTAAGGAGAAGAAACATGAAGCCAAGAAGAAGGCTGATGCCGGAGACAAGGTTAAGGCCCCTAAGAAGGGGAAGCCGCACTGCAGCTGAAACCCCGTCCCCGTCAGAGGAATCATTCGGCAGATATTCCCGGTCGGCTATGTATTCTCGAAAGACCATGTACAAGAGGAACTATTCCACCCCTAAATCCAGGATTGAAAAGAAAAAGAAGGAGAAAGTCCTTGCTACTGTCACAGAACCAGTCGGTGGCGACAAGAATGGTGGTACCCGAGTGGTTAAACTCCACAAAATGCCTAGATATTATCCTCCTGAAGCTGTGCCTCGAAAGCTGCTGAGCCATGGCAAGAAGCCCGTCAGCCAGCATGTGAGGAGATTGCGGGCCAGCATCACTCCTCCTGGGACCGTTCTGATCATCCTCGCTGGGCGCCACAGAGGCAAGAGGGTGGTTTTCCTGAAGCAGCTGAGCAGTGGCTTGCTACTTGTGACTGGACCTCTGGCCCTCAATCCAGTTCCTCTTCGTAGAACGCACCAGAAATTTGTCATCGCCACCTCCACCAAAGTTGATGTCAGTGGTGTGAAAATCCCCAAACATCTCACCGATGCTTACTTCAAGAAGAAGCTGCGCAAGCCCAAACACCAGGAGGGTGAGATCTTCGACACAGAGAAAGAGAAATACGAGATTACAGAACAGCGCGAGGTTGACCAGAAAGCTGTGGACTCTCAAATTCTGCCAAAAATCAAAGCTGTCTCTCAGCTCCAGGGTTACCTTTGCTCTACGTTCACTCTCACCAATGGGCTTTATCCTCACAAACTGCTGTTCTGAATTTATTACAAGAACCCGATTAAATAACTGATACGTTAAAAAAAAAAAAAATTCGATCGTTGTCCTGTTGTTACTTGGCTCTGTTGACTAATGCGTTTGCAGACCATGGCTCTAGATCAATCACCTCAAAGTCCAACATTTTGCATTTGATGGAGAGCCCCAAATATCGTATCCTCCCCCCTTTACTTACTTAATTTATTTTAAATATATATTTTATTGATTTTTTTTTTAGAGAGAAAGGGAGAGGGATAGAGAGTTAGAAACATCAATGAGAGAGAAACATCGACCAGCTGCCTCCTGCACACCCTTTACTGGGGATGTGCCTGCAACCAGGGTACATCCCCTTGACCGGAATTGAACCCAGGACTCTTCCCTCCACAGGCTGACGCTCTTTCCACTGAACTAAACCGGTTAGGGCCTTAATTTATTTTTAAAAATATATTTGCATTGATTTCAGAGAGGAAGGAAGAGGAAGAGAGGGAGACATAGAAACATCAATGATGAGAGAGAATCATTGATCGGCTGCCTCTTGCACGCCCCACACTGGGAATCCAGCCTGCAACCCGGGCATGTACCTGACTGGGAATCAACCCATGACCTCTTGGTTCATAGGTCAACACACTCAACTACTGAGCTATACGGGTGGCCCCCCTCCCTTTACTTAATTTCATTGTACTATGTTTGCTATTAAATGTTTGTGTCCCCAAGAGTCACATGTTGACATCCTAACCCCCAAGATGATGGTATTAGGAAGTAGAGCCTTTGGGAGATGATTAGGTTATGAGGGTGGGGCCCCCCTGCAAGGGATTAGTGCCCTTAGAGAAGAACGCAGAAAGCCCTGTCCTCGCTTGTGGGGACAGTAAGGAGATAGTGACTTCTGGCCAGACATCCAATCTGCCGTGGCCCTGACCCTGGACTTCCCAGCCTCACAACCAGAAGAAATAAATGTCTGTTGTTTATAAGCCATCTGGTCTACCCGGTTTCTGCTCCAGCAGCTGGAAAAGGTCAAGACAGTGCTTTCCCCAATCTCTCAGGTGATCACCCCAAAAGAACCCATTGCTCCCCTTGTCCCTTCCCTCTGCCCTTTCAGTCCCCACATCCAGCTGCTTCTACCTTCTGAATAGCTCTCTCCCCAACATCCTTCCCTCTCTCCCCAGTATCCTTCCCTCTTTCCCTAGCATCCTTCCCTCTCTCCTCTCTCCCTTGCATCCTTCCCTCTCCCCCAGCATCCTTCCCTCTCTCCCCAGCATCCTTCCCTCTCTCCCCAGCATCCTTCCCTCTCTCCCCGCCGCCGCTATTACTGACCAATGCCAGGCTTTCACCATCTCTCCCCAAAGTGCCGCCACGTTCCCCTCCGGATCCCCCGGCCCCAGCCTCTGCCCAGCCGCTGCTGGCCGGGCCTCTCTTGGTGCGTGTCTTCATGCTCTCATTCAGGCACAGGTGTTTACGGAGCATTTACACCGGGCGGGGTGCAGGGCTCAAGGGTGAGTCTAGCGCCGTGGTTGGCAAACCGGGGCGCGCGAGCCACATGAGGCTCTTGGGCCCCTTTGCGTGTGGCTCTTTCACAAAACACCACGGCCTGGGCGAGTCTATGTTGAAGACGTGGCGTTAGAAGAAGTTTACGTGTAAAACATCTGGCTCTCCAAAGACATGTCGATCGTTGTCCTGTTGATAGTTGGCTCCGGGGACTAAATGAGTTTGCCGACCACTGGGACAGAGCACTGTGTGAGCCGGGCGTGGTCCCTGCCTTCACGGGGCTGTGCACGAGGGACACGGACAGGAAGGGAAGGAGCCAGATGTAAACACGGAACCCCTGGCTGTGATCGTTGCCGTGCAGACTGAGAACAGGGGCTGCGGGAAGGAGTATCGGGGCAAAGTTCCTTTCTGATTGGGAGGAGGATGTGTAAACGAAGACCTGGAGGAAGAGCACTGGGAGGCAGACCTGAGAGGAGCTGGGTGTGTGGAGGGGGCAGAGACGGGCATGGGGAAGAGCTGGTTGTGCTTAAGGAACAAGTCCAGCTGGTGTGTCTGGGACCGGGAGCAAAGAGGCTGGAGAGGGGCCTGGTGAGGTGGGAGGGGTCGGACCCTGCAGAGCCTTCTTTTTTTTTTTTATTAATTTTTAAAATATATATGTTATTGACTTTTTACAGAGAGGAAGGGAGAGGGCGCTGAGAGTGGGGATTTCTGAGCAGGCTCTCTCCTAGTCGACGTGGCCATAAATCCCAGCTGCAGCTAACAAGAGAGCCTTACAGGGCAGATCCCTGTCAACTTTCCTGACAATGAAATGCAGTTACCCCACCAGGCGCCAGGACCCTATACATGACATGCTGACTTTACCCAAGAAAAACTACTGTGTTTAAATTGTTTTAAATTGTTTGCTCTGCAAAAGCAGCAGGCAGTGAATGGGTATAAGTACGGTCGGACACCAGGAGTCGGGGCTGCGTGGAGAGAGCAGTCAGCCGGCCGGTTACTAAAAGGCTCCCTACATTTTAAAAAAAAATAAAAAATAAAAAATAAAAAATAAAAAATAAATAAAATAAAAATAAAAGGCTCCCTACATTTTAATCTGGTCCAGACGCCAGGGGTCGTTTACGCGCATTCGCTCCACAACAAGGGACAGAGAGTCAGAAGCATTGATGAGAGAGAAACATCGATTGGCTGCCTCCCGCGCATTCCCACCTGGGGACGTGCCCGCAACCAAAGCACATGCTCTTGACCGGAATCCAACCTGGGACCCTTCCGTCCACAGGCCGATGCTCTATCCACTGAGCCAAACCGGTCAGGGCCAGAGCCTTCTTTCTGTTCTCAGTGCAGCTGGAAACCACTGGAGGGATACAGTGGGGAGAGGGGGAGTCATTCATTCTAATCTCCCTGTCAGGTTCACAGTAGAATCCACCGTCCACACCATGGCCCTCCCTTTGGTCTGCCCCAGCTGCACTAACCTTTCCTTTCTTTCCCTTTTCCTTTTAAATATATTTTATTGATTTTTTACAGAGAGGAAGGGAGAGGGAGAGAGAGTTAGAAACACCCATCAGCCGGGACCGGTTTGGCTCAATGGATAGAGCGTCGGCTTGGGGACTGAAGGGTCCCGAGTTCGATTCCGGTCAAGGGCATGTACCCTGGTTGCTGGCATATCCCCAGTAGGGGGTGTGCAAGAGGCAGCTGATCGATGACTCTCTCTCATCTATGTTTCTGACTCTCTATCTCTCTCCCTTCCTCTCTGTACAAAATCAATAAAATATATTTGAAAAAAAAAAAAAGAAACACCCATCAGCTGCCTCCTACATACCTACATACCTCCTACTAGGGTTGTGCCTGCAACCAGGGTACGTGCCCTTGACCTGAATTGAATGGGACCCCTCAGTCCGCAGGCCGACGCTCTGTCCCCTGAGCCAAACTGGCCAGGGCTTACACTAACCTTTCCACTAGTTCCTGTGCAAGCTGAGCTGGCTGAGCCCCAGGGCCTTTGCACCTGCACGTCTCTCGGCCCCGCACTGCCCCCCCACCCCCACCTCCACTCAGACCACCTGTGCCGTCTGCTTGGCTCACTTCCTTGTGCCGTAAAGGATTCTGTGCAAACGCGAGGAGCTGATACGGATTGACGTTCTGGAACGTTCATGAGCCCGCTGGGGTCACGCTGTGGGCATGAACAGAAAATACTCTGGGGGCAGCTCAGGACGGCGAGTGAACGGTAAGGGAGCCTGGGAGCCGGACGCCCACGCCTGGAACATTCCCCCGAGGCTGAGGATGTTCCAGCGCCCGGAGGACCCTCTGTCCCCGGCCGGGGGGCGTCGGGGCTGGGACTGGCCACGGGCACGGTGCTGCCCGGGGCTCCGAGGGAGGGGGCTGCGGCTCTGGAGCCCAACCACCGTCAGGCCTGGGAGCGTCTCCCGGTCATCCATGGAGGGAGCCTAAAGCCCACCTCAAGGACTTATTCCAAGTGCAATCGGTGCTGAGAAGCCGTTTGCAGATAGCAGAGGGCGTGTGAAGGGGGTGGTAAGGGCTGAGGATGGGCAGGAGAGAGGCAGGGGTGCCCCGTGCTCCCCACCTTGGCCTCCCAGTTTCACGCTCCCCTGCCCGCCTCACCACAGCTTCTAAGTTGCACCTCAGGGAGTTCACCAACCTCGGCCCCCGGGCCGCCCTGGGGGAGGTCCCGTCGGCTCTCTGACCTCCCGTGTTCCACGTGCTCATCTGTCACGTGGAGAGAACAATCAGCTGTGGAAGCCACTGTGTGAGGGACAGCGCTCCTGGGCGTGAGGTCACTGAAGAGAGTGTGTCTCCGAAATACTGAGTCCCCCCTGGCTGGCGTGGCTCAGGGGTTGAGGGTGGACCCAGGAACCAGGAGGTCATGGTTCAATCGCCATCAGGGCACATGCCCGGGTTGCAGACTGAATCCCCAGGGGGCAGGGGGTGGGGCGTGCAGGAAGGAGGCAGCCAATCCGTGATTCTCTCTCATCTTGGATGTTTCTATCTTCTCCCATTCTCTCTTCCTCTCTGAAATCAATAAAAACATTAAAAAAATAAAAGTACAGGTGCTGAAAGGAAGAATGTGATTTATTAAAGAGAGAGAGAGCCCTCGCTGGTTTGGCTCAGTGGCTAGAGTGTCAGCCCGCAGACTGAAGGGTCCTGGGTTTGATTCCAGTCAAGGGCATGTGCCTGGGTTGCAGGCTCCATCCCCAGCTCCAGACCAATTGATGTGTCTGTCACATCAGTGTTTCTCTCTCTCTGTCCCTCCTCCCTTCCACTCTCTCTAAAATTCAGTGGAAGCACTTCCTCAGGTGAGGATGAACAGCAGAATAATAAAAAAGAAAGAAAAAGGAAGACCAAACACTGAGTCCGGCTCCTCAGCAGCAAATGCTCCACGTTTGAAACCAAACCTCAGAGTAAGAGCCATGCACACACACACGTGCACACACATGTGCAAACATGCACACACACTTGCATGTATGTACCTGGGCTGCCTTTGGAGGGAGCTGGGACAGGACGGGGGGAAGGTCTCTGTGTCTCAGCTTTCTCCTTCACGGAACAGCAAGCCTGGGCCTGACCTCAGAGCCGCGACTTCCAGCCACTGAGCCGCAAGAATTTCAAAACACGCAGTGTGGCTACTCAGTCAGGGGCACAGGCCTCCGTCCCCCTAGACTGCCAAATGAGAAAATGACAACAGCCGGCCGGCGTGGCTAAGTGGTTGAGCATCAGTCTATGAACCAGGAGGTCACGGTTCAATTCCTGGTCAGGGCACAGGCCGCAGTTCCAGGCTCGATCCCCAGTAGGGGGCGTGCAGGAGGCAGCCCATCAGTGATTGTCTCCCATCACTGATGCGTCTCTCTCTCACTCCCTCTCCCTTCCACTCTGAAATCAATAATAAAAATATTTTTTAGCCCTGACTTGTTTGGCTCAGTGAATGGAGTGTCAGCCTGAGGACTGAAAGGTCCCAGGTTCAATTCCGGTCAAGGGCATATCCCCAGTAGGGGGTGTGCAGGATACAGCTGATGGATGACTCTCTCTCATCCAGTTTCTAACTCTCTCTCTCTCTCTCTCTCTTCCTCTCTGTAAAATATCAATAAAATATAATCATTTTTTTAAAAAAAGGAACATCTTCATCATTTTTTGTGTCGCTGGCACGTTGAGACGGTCAGATTTGGATCTCATGGTCCACCAGCACATGTTCCCGACGGCTCTCCAGAAAGGAGGGGGCTGCCAGAAGCCGCCCCGCAGCCCGGCTGGCGCCCGTGACCTTCCCCCGGTGGACAGGCTGCCCCGGGCCCCCCTGCCCTGCTGTGGGGGTGCAGGCCCGGCTCCTCGCCCCCCTCCCCGGGCGTCTCGCCGGCTGTACCTCTGAGAGCGTCTTTCTTGGCCCGCGTCGGGGTTCTGCTCCCACGGGCTCCGGCTCAGCGGGGGCCGCCCTCCCGCCCGGCCCCGGCCTATGTGCAGGACGAGCTGTGGCCCGGGGGCACGTTTTGAGTGACTGGTCACGGGGGCGAGGGGGGAGGAAGCTCGTGGACAGGGTGGCCCGGGGGTGGGGAACGGGGCGCCGGCCTGCACGCAAGCTTCAGGCCCATCAGCTCAGTCATGTGTGCATGGACGGCCTGTGCGGGGGCTGGCGCCGGGGGCGAGAAGAGCCATGAGCAGAGGAGACAGCTACGAGGAGGAAGAGGATGGGGGTCAGCTGGGTGACGGGAGACAAGGACACACAGCGCCTGCCCTCGCCTGGTGCGGGGCTCTGCTCCACCGTCTGCAAAGCTCCCTGACCGCCCACAGCCCTGCCTGGGCACCAGAGGGCGGGCGCGCAGACTCACCCAGGGGCGCCCGGGGCCCAAGCAGGACTCCTCGGTTTGCAGGAGGGGAAACTGAGGCACAGACGTGTTGAGGGGCTTGCCAAAAGCCGTACAGCCAATGTGGGGGAACGGGTGGCATTCGGAGCAGTGTAGTTGGGAGCCTCCTTTTATTTTATTTTATTTTATTTTATTTTATTTTATTTTATTTTATTTTATTTTATTTTATTTTATTTTATCACTAGAGGCCAATGCACAAAGTTCGTGTAAGAGTGGGCTTTCCTCCCCCCTGCTGCCGGCCCGGCTTCCCTCTGGCCCCCAGGACCTGGGCTCTCCTCCCAGCCCTGGCTTTGTCCGAAGGTCGTCCGGAAGGACATCTGGTCTAATTAGCATATTACCCTTTTATTATTATAGATTTTTAAAAGTATATTTTTTATTGATCTTAGGAAAGGAGAGAGGGACAGATAGAAACATCAATGATGAGAGAGGATCATTGATTGGCTGCCTCCTGCCCGCCCCACACCGGGCATGTGCCCTGACTGGGAATTGAACTGTGACCTCTTGGTTCACAGGTTAAAGCTCAACTACGGAGCCACCTTGGCAGGGCAATGTCTCCCTTACATGTCTACCCCCATTAACCAACCTGCCATCTGCCACTCGCCGATTTCAGAAAGAGGAAGGGAAAGAGAGAGTGATAGAAGCATTAATGATGAAAATCGTGGATTAGCTGCCTCCTGCACGCCCCCTACTGGAGAACTGAGTCCACAACCTGGGCATGCGCCCCATGGGGGATTGAACCGTGACCTCGTGGTTGATGGGTGGACACTCAACCACTGAGCCACCCCGACTGTGACCTGGACTTTTGGCCAGACAGTCCGATGGCCTCTCTCAGTATCTTTCCTGGAATCCCCAAATGCTTTGACCAATATTCTTTGAGATTACTGAGCTGTTTTTATTTTATTTATTTTTATTTTTATTTTTAATATATTTTATTGATTTTTCACAGAGAGGGAGGGACAGGGATAGATAGTTAGAAACATCGATGAGAAAGAAGCATCAACCAGCTGCCTCCTGCACACCCCCCACTGGGGATGTGCCCGCAACCTATGTACATGCCCCTGACTGGAATCGAACCTAGGACCTTTCAGTCTGCAGGGCGACGTTCTATCCACTGAGCCAAACAGGTTTCAGCTGTTTTTATTTATTTTTTTAATATATATATTTTATTGATTCTTCACAGAGAGGAAGGGAGAGGGATAGAGAATTAGAACCATCAATGAGAGAAATATTGATCAGCTGCCTCCTGCACACCTCCTACTGGGGATGTGCTCACAACCAAGGTACATATCCTTGACCAGAATCAAACCTGGGACCTTTGAGTCCACAGACAGACACTCTATCCACTGAACCAAACTGGATTAGGGCTGTTTTCATTTTTAATATGCATAACCTCAGCAGTGCTAACAAGTTATGTTTTAAATTCATTTCATTATGTTAAGATTCACCTTTAAATCTGAGTCTGCATTCTAGACCCACCAGCAAGGGAATCCTATATACTTTAGAGGTAGAGATTATGTCAGTAGCCTTGGCTAGTGTGGCTCAGTGGGCTGAGCATCATCCCGTCCATCAGAAGGTCGCTGCTGGTTTGACTCCTGCTTGGGACACGGGCCCTAGTTGTGGGTTCCATCACCAGTTGGGCTATGTATGGGAGGCAAACAATTGATGTTTCTCTCTCCTGCTCCCTCTCTAAAATCAATAAAAACATATTTTTTAAAAATAATACAAGACAGCCCTAACCAGTTTGGCTCAGTGGATAGAGCATCGGCCTGCGGGCTGAAAGGTCCCAGGTTCGATTCCGGTCAAGGGCATGTGCCTTGGTTGCAGGCACATCCCCAGTGGGGGTTGTGCAGGAGGCAGCTGGTCGATGTTCCTCTCTCATGGATGTTTCTAGCTCTCTATTCCTCTCTCTTCCTCTCTGTAGAAAAAATCGATGAAATATTTTTTTAAAAATAATACAAGACAGCGTGTTTCAGACTTTGCAATTAGTCTTGCTTTCCAGAGCTGGGAGGTGTCGGTGACTGTGCGTCTTGTTTTACTTACTCCTGAGAACTGCCAGGCCCTGAGCCCTTTGGGCGAATCCCCGAGCGTGGCGGGGGCACAGGGTGCACGCACTGAGGCTCCGTCCCCCACAGCCTCCCCGGCCTCCACAGCCTCCCCAGCTTCCCCAGCCTCGCAGGGACTTCCTCGCCTTCCAGACTCCCACTGGGTCTCGGACACAGACGTGCCTAAGGCCACTGTGATCCTTGAAGATCGTTGTCTTGGCAACAACCTGGAATTCCTCATCCGGACTCTTCAAATCCTGGACTATATTAACTTATGTTCTTTTTATTGAATGTATTGCGGTGACACTCTCGTCTATATTTAGTGCCAATTATCTTAAGTATTTTTTTTTCCCCTTCTGTATTTCTTCTTATGCAGAGTAGCCTTGGGGCAGAGAGAGGGAGAGAGGAAAGGTGAAAAGGGGGAAGGAAGATGAGGAGGAAGGAGGAGGAGGGGCAGGGAGAAGAGATGGAGGAGAGGGGGAGAAGGGGAGAGAGCAGAGACAGAAGGGGGGGAAGAGAGAGGAGGAGGAGAAGGAGGAGGAAAAGAAAGAGGAAGAGGAGGAGGAGGAAGAGAAGGAGGAGGAAGAGGAGGAGGAGGAGAGAAGAAGGAAGGGGAGGGGAGGAGGAGGAGCTGGGACAGTGCAGCCAGGGAGAGGGGAGGAAGAGAAAGGAGGAGTGGGAGGACCATGGAGGAGGGACCAGGAGGAGGCCTGGCTGTGGCTATAAATCCTGAGGGTGAGCTGGGTGCCCCAGCCCCGGCCAGAGGAGGAGCATGGGGCTGCGTGCGGGGCTCCTGCTGGCGTGGGCCTTTGGGCTGCTCGGCGTCGTCAGCGCCGATTATGGTGAGGAGTTTGGGACGGTGTGTGGGTCCGGGCCCCGGGAGGAGGGCGAGGCTCACCCTCACGTCTTGTGCTCTGAGAAGGAGAGAGTCGCTCTCCACATTGTCCCGTTCACAGACAAGGTCCACTGCTGGGCTCTAACACAAAACAAAACATGAAAAGGGGCCCACCACCCAGAACTGAAATGTCACGGCTGACCTGTACACGTAAGGAGCCGTTTGACTTGGAAACTGGGTCTCAAAAGAACTGGTGGCCCAGAGAGAAGCTCACTGCAGACGATGCGTATGCCTCCCAGCATAACGATGATTGCTTCTCTCGTTTTCGGTTCTTATAAGTATATTTCCAGTAGGACATGATCTCACTCATCGAGGGGAAATGGTGAACAGAGACTGATGAACAAGAACAGACCCAGAGACAAGGAGCCAGGGGTCAGACTGTCGGACCTCAGGGGGAGGGTGGGGATAAAGAGAGAGATCAACCAGAGGACTTGTGTGCACACATATGTGCCTAACCAGTGGTCGAGGACAACAGGGGGATGGGGGCATGCGTGGGGGTGAGGGTGGGGGTGGGGGATGGGAATGGGGGGTGGAGGACAAATATGGGATACCCTAATCAATAAAGAAATTAATAATCAAATGGGGGGGCTCAACTAATAAACACGAAAGACTGGGAACGCCAGCTGGGAAATCCTACCGACAGAAGCCCCGCTCCTGGTGGCGGGTGTCTCCCCACCCCAGTCCGTGTTCAGTGCCGCCTGGGGAGGTTCTGGAAGGAAAGGACGTTTGGGGACGCCTGCCTTGTTCCTTTACCAAACCATGTCGCCCTCACCAACCACGGGGTGACCGCAGAGGGAGAGGCTCACGAAGGTGGCGAGGGTCGCCCAGAGCCGCGAAAGCCATTCTTTGATGGGATGGCAAGGGACCAGGACCTCGCATGCACGACTTTATAACTTTATTTTTTTAATATATTTTATTGATTTTACACAGAGAGGAATTGAGAGGGATAGAGAGTTAGAAACGTCAATGAGAGAGAAACATCGACCAGCTGCCTCTTGCACACCCCCTACTGGGGATGTGCCGGCAACCAAGGTACATGCCCTTGACCGGAATCGAACCCGGGACCTTTCAGTCCGCAGGCTCACGCTCTATCCACGAAGCCAAACCGGTTTCGACACAACTTTATAACTTTAAAATATATATATATTATTGATTTTTTTTACAGAGAGGAAGAGAGAGGGCTAAAGAGTTAGAAACATCGATGAGAGAGAATCATCCATCAGCTGCCTTTTGCACACTCACCCCCTACGGGGGATGTGCCTGCAACCAAGGCACATGCCCTTGACCAGAATCGAACCTGGGACCCTTCAGTCCGCAGGCCGACGCTCTGTCCACTGAGCCACACCGGCCAGGGCTCTGGACCCATTTTGTCCGTCAGTTTATTCTGTGCGTCAGACTGCACAGAAGAGTGAGACCCGGCGGTGCTCATCTCCTCCCCGAGGGACTGGACTGCAGCGGCCGGTCAGCTCAGTGGCCTCACGGGGCTTGGCCCCTTCGGGACCCCGGTTCTTCTGTCTGTGGACGGCGGGGAGAACACGTGTGTCACAGCGGCCTGGTGCCTCCGGCGCCCGCCTGGCACATCGGCGAGGCTCCGTGCATCTGCCTCCCCTCTGTCCCAGGCGTCTCGTCTTCCCGCTTCTTTCCTCGAGGAAGGGATTTCCATTTGGCCAGCGGCAGCGCCAAAGGCAGGAATCTCTGACGGTAGAATCCGGGCGGGAGTGAGAAGGGCGACAAAAATGGAAACACACACACACACACACACACACACACACACACACACACACACGAGTACCCGAAAACGTCGTGTTCCGTATCAGAAACTCCACGAAGCCCTCCCCGCAGACGAGCCTGAATCTGAGCAACGGGCAGGCAGGGGTGAGGAAGTGAGGGCGACGGAGATGGGGATGCTGCTGTGGACAGCCCAATGGTTAGAGCCTCGCCGGGAACCACAGCGGGCTCTCGGAGGTTCAGGGCTTCCTTTGTTCCGGACGCTATTCTATTCTGCGGAGTTCATAGGCACAAAGCATCTGTTCCTCCTAATACACCCCCCTACCCCTCCAGGCAGTGCCATCGAGGTCCTTGCTTCACAGGAGAGAATCGGGGCCACAGAGGGGCGGAGTCCCATCCTGAAGCCACTCAGCTCGCTAGGGACAACTGGGGTTTGTGCTCAAGATTCTGAGACAGCCAGCCGAAACCGGTTTGGCTCAGTGGATAGGGCGTCGGTCTGTGGACTGAAGGGTTCCAGGTTCGATTCCGGTCAAGGGCATGTGTCTTGGTTGTGGGCACATCCCCGGTGGGGGGTGTGCAGGAGGCAGCTGATCGATGTTTCTCTCTCATCGGTGTTTCTAACTCTCTAGCCCTCTCCCTTTCTCTCTGTAAAAAATCAATAAAATAAAATAATAAAAGATTCTGAGACAGCTCATTTCCTTTCTTTTCCTTTCTCTCTATAATCCTCGCCTGTGGATATGTTTTCATTGCTTTTAATAAGAGAAAAAGGGAGAGGAGGGAGAGAGAGAAATAGCCGCTGGTTACCTTCCATCTGTGCATCACCTTTAAAATATTATTGTTTGCCAAAACCGGTTTGGCTCAGTGAATAGAGCATCGGTCTGCCGACAGAAAGGTCCCAGGTTCGATTCCGGTCAAGGACATGTACATTGGTTGCAGGCACATCCCCAGTGGGGGATGTGCAGAAGGCAGCTGATCAATGTCTCTTTCATTGATGTTTCTAACTCTCTGTCCCTCCCCCTTCCTCTCTGTAAAAGATCAATAAAATATATTTAAAGTTTAAAAATAAAATATTATTGTTACTAGGCTATAATTTGGTAAAATTAATTTTATTTCAAAGGCTAACTCTAGTGCAATAACTGTTTGTTTAAATTGTGTCTTTCAGATTATTCGCCAACTCCAGGTAAGGGGCTCAGAACGCTTTGAGTGCAGTGTCTTTTGATATCTCGCCATAACATGTGAGGTGGTTGATGCCAGATTTCTTTTCCTGGTAAGAAATCGTACGTTTCATGAAAAACTGCTACTTTATGTCCTTGACTACTAAAGAAGGTACATGCTATGTTAAAAATCATTAAGGAAAAAGAAGAGAGCAATCCATTTTACTGTTAATATGTTCAAGGGATCCAATATTTCATTACATACAACCTTATACTGTGATTTTCATTTTGCAGAAATAGTCCTGTAGAACATAATTTTCATGCCTGTTTTATATCTCCTCTTTGCCCGTATGACATTATAAGGCTTTAGTTTACCTAAACATTCCCTTACGTGATGAATATGTTTGGATTGATTTCTATTTGTTGTGCTGTTATCAACCATGCTAAAAGGAACATTCTTTTAAAAAAAAAAAAAAGTTATTTATTTATTTATTTATTAGAGAGAGGAAGAGAGAGGGATAGAGAGTTAGAAACATCAATGAGAGAGAATCATCGATCAGCTGCCTCCTGCACACCCCCCACCAGGCATGTGGCGGCAACCAAGGTACATGCCCTTGACGGGAATCGAACCTGGGACCTTTGAGTCCGCAAGCTGGTGCTCTATCCACTGAGCCAAACCGGTTTCGGCAAAAGGAACATTCTTAACCTGAATGTCATTCCAACAAAAACCAGGGACGTGCAGAGGTCAGTGGTGTCCACTCTGACCAGTGCTAGTTAGCATTATTGGGGGCGAAATAGGGTGTTCTAACGTAGGTGATATTGCAAAACAGGAAATCACCTGTAAGCCTACAGAAAACGATGGGCAGCATTATTTTATGATTGTAAACGTAAAAATCCCTGGGGACCCTGGGAAAGAGGACCGGTTTTAGCAGGAGAATGTGGCTATGTGGCTGGAGAGAAAACACACACACACAGCCAATAGTTTTTCTCTTTGCTGGTGAGAACTCACTACACTTGGATGGAAAAGGAAGCATTCCACTTTACATCAGTGACAAAGCCCACCGCGGCATTCCGTCGGCAGGAACTGTGGAGGACTCAGGGGACGTAAATGATCGCATCCTCCTGAGGAACATAAAGCGATTCTAAAAGACAGGCTCTCACACCATGCTCTTCGCGGGAAGACATGACGGTGAAATAAAGATCAGCTTCAAATTTTGTTTTGCAGAAGCTATCCCCTACCTTACAGAAAGCAAAAGTAAGTTGACCATCAAATGTTATACTAAGGGCCCTAGCTGGTGTGGGTCAGTGGTTAGAGCGTTGGCCTGCCCAGGGAAGGGTCACTGGTTCCAGATGTTTATCTCTGCCCTTCCCTCCCTCCTTTCCACTCTCTCTAAAAATATAGACATGTAATCAAAAAAAAAAATATCCTCGGTTGAAGATTAACAACAACAACAAATTCTTTTTTTCTCCTTTCACAAAACCCTACCTAATAAAAGGGTAATATGCAAATTGACCGCACCTTCCCTATGCCAAAGCCACGACCACCCACCAATCAGGTCGAGTATGCAAATTAATCTAACCAAGATGGTGGTTAATTTGCACATCAAGTCAGAGTTGAAAGAAGCCAAATGCTGCAGAAGGGAACCAAGCAAGCGGGTGGGGGGGGGGGGGGAGAAGGAAGGGAAGCAGGTGGGGGGAGGAAGGGAAGCAGGTGGGGGAGAAGGAAGGGAAGCAGGTGAGGGAGGAAGGGAAGCAGGTGGGGGGAGGAAGGGAAGCAGGTGGGGAGAGAAGAAAGGGAAGCAGGTGGGGGAGAAGGAAGGGAAGCAGGTGGGGGGAGGAAGGGAAGCAGGTGGGGGAGAAGAAAGGGAAGCAGGTGGGGGAGGAAGAGAAGCAGGTGGGGGGGGAAGGAAACAGGTGGGGAGAAGGAAGGGAAGCAGGTGGGGGGAGGAAGGGAAGCAGGTGGGGGAGGAGGAAGGGAAGCAGGTGGGGGGAGGAAGGGAAGCAGGTGGGGGAGGAGGAAGGGAAGCAGGTGGGGGAGGAAGAAGGGAAGCAGGTAGGAGGAGGAAGGGAAGCAGGTGGGGGAGGAGGAAGGGAAGCAGGTGGGGGGAGGAAGGGAAGTAGGTCGGGGGGGAGAAAGGGAAGCAGGTGGGAGGAGGAAGGGAAGCAGGTGGGGGAGGAGGAAGGGAAGCAGGTGGGGGGAGGAAGGGAAGCAGGTGGGGGGAGGAAGGGAAGCAGGTGGGGGGGGAGAAAGGGAAGCAGGTGGGGGGAGGAAGAGAAGCAGGTGGGGGGGGAGAAGGAAGGGAAGCAGGTGGGGGAGGAAGGGAAGCAGGTGGGAGGAGGAAGGGAAGCAGGTGGGGGAGGAGGAAGGGAAGCAGGTGGGGGGAGGAAGGGAAGAAGGTGGGGGGAGGAAGGGAAGCAGGTGGGGGGGAGGAAGGGAAGCAGGTGGGGGGAGGAAGGGAAGCAGGTGGGGGGAGGAAGGGAAGCAGGTGGGGGGAGGAGGGGAAGCAGGTGGGGGGGAGGAAGGGAAGCAGGTGGGGGAGGAAGGGAAGCAGGTGGGGGAGGAAGGGAAGCAGGTGGGGGAGGAAGGGAAGCAGGTGGGAGAGAAGGAAGGGAAGCAGGTGGGGGGAGGAAGGGAAGCAGGTGGGGGAGGAAGGGAAGCAGGTGGGGGGAGGAAGGGAAGCAGGTGGGGGAGGAGGAAGGGAAGCAGGTGGGGGAGGAAGGGAAGCAGGTGGGAGAGAAGGAAGGGAAGCAGGTGGGGGGGGAGAAAGGGAAGCAGGTGGGGGAGGAAGGGAAGCAGGTGGGGGGAGGAAGGGAAGCAGGTAGAGGGAGGGAAGCAGGTGGGGGGGGGGAGAAAGGGAAGCAGGTGGGGGAGAAGGCCCAGTGCATGAATTCGTGCATGGGTGAATGTCCAGCCCAGGGGGAGGGGACATGGACGGTTGGCTGGCCTGCCTGCTGGTCAAACTCCTGGTTGAGGGGACAAGTTTCATATTGACCTTTGTGGTATAGGATATGCACTGAGTGGCCAGATTATTATGCGTTCAGAGATCATCATAATCTGGCCACTCACTGCATACATTATGTATAGCTATGTATGTTATACGGCCCATATATGTTGTCTAGATGGAGATATACATCTGTCTACATAAGGCATAGAGGCCCCATGCACAGATTCATGCACAGGGGTAACGGGTGTCCCTCAGCCTGGCCTGTGCCCTCGTGCAATCCCGGACCCCATGGGGATATAGCAGTGTGCCAAGCGGCAGGTGGCCAAGGAGGAGCCTGAGCAGGGACTGGGTGCTGCCCCCTGGTGGTCAGTGTGCATCATAGCGGCTGATCGACCGGTCGTTCCAGTCATTCTGGTCATTCAGTTGCAATGGTTACTTAGGCCTATATATATATATATGGAGAGAGAGAGAGAGAGAGAGAGAGAGAGAGAGAGAGAGAGAGAGAGAGGAGATGGGCAGATTAAAACATCCATATGGGCATGGAAAAAAGTGTAGAGAGATACAAGCCAGCCTATCTACATTGTGTGTGTCTGTGTGCACGTGTGTGTGTGTACACGTGTGTGGGGGGTGGAGGGGTGTGTACACGGGCGTGTGTGTGCACGTGTGTGTACACACGGTGTGCGCACGTGTGTGTGTGTGCGCGTGTGTGTGCGTGTGTGTGTGCACGTGTGTGTGTGTGTGTGTGTGTGGAGATGGAAGAGGCTGAAGAAAGGAGACCGAAGGGAAATTGTTTAGTAGATAAATGGCCGCATGGGTGTCTCTGAGCTTCGGGTCAGTCTCTGGAGCTGGGCCGAGTGCTGAGCCACATGTCCCGGCTGCCGATGCGATGGGGAGAGGGGCGGCCTGAGAGGACAGAGCAGGCCCATGTGGGGCGAGGGGCGGCCTGAGAGGACAGAGCAGGCCCATTGGGGAGAGGGGTGGCCTGGGAGGACAGAGCAGGCCCGTTGGGGAGAGGGCGGCCTGAGAGGACAGAGCAGGCCCGTTGGGGAGAGGGCAGCCTGAGAGGACAGAGCAGGCCCGCTGGGGAGGGGGCGGCCTGAGAGGACAGAGCAGGCCCGTTGGGGAGAGGGCGGCCTGAGAGGACAGAGCAGGCCCGTGTGGGGAGGCGGGGCGGGCGTGAGAGGACAGAGCAGGCCCGTTGGGGAGAGGGCGGCCTGAGAGGACAGAGCAGGCCCGTTGGGGAGAGGGCGGCCTGAGAGGACAGAGCAGGCCCGTTGGGGAGAGGGCGGCCTGAGAGGACAGAGCAGGCCCGTTGGGGAGAGGGCGGCCTGAGAGGACAGAGCAGGCCCGCTGGGGAGAGGGCCCAGGCCGCTGGGTGGGGATGAGCCTCCATAGAAGGAGGGCAGGGCTCCGTCAGGGGACGGCCTCGGGGAGAGGCGCGTGGCCGCCGCCCGGACACGGACACGAGGCAGCCCCTGTGCTTCCCCAGAGGGCAAGTGCTTCTTCCCGTTCCACTTCAAGAACGGCCTGTTCTACGACTGCGTCAAGTTCCAGGCCAAGCACAAGTGGTGCTCCCTGACGCAGCACTTCGAAGGCTCCTGGAAGTACTGCTCGGAGGAGGGTGAGTGCTCGGGCAGGGCCAGGCCTCGGGGCGTGTGGGGCGTCTGGGCCAGCGCCGGGTCCCCAGACCTTCCCCGGCTCGACACGTGGAAGGCACGGTCCCGGCAGCCGCTGGGCTCGGTGGCGGGAGCGTGGACCGTGGGCTGAAGGGCTGTGGGTTCGACTCCGGTGAAGGGCACGTACGTACTTGGGCTGTAGGTTCAAGGCCCCATGGGGACACCTGTGGGAGGCAACCAGCTGATGTGTCTCTCTCACATCAACGTTCCTCTCTCTCTCTCTCCTCTCCCCCCCCCCTTACACTCTTGCTAAAAAAAAACCGTTGGGAAAATAATATTGGATGAGGACTAACAAAACAAAACAAAGGAATGGGATGCACAGTCATTACCTGGTGAGAACCAGTTGTGGGCAGGTAGGTCTCTGATGGCACGAAAACCACACGGCACCAAAGATAGAAGAGCAGCCGAAGCCGGTGTGGCTCAGTGGATAGAGCATCGGCCTGCGGACTCAAGGGCCCGGGTTCGATTCCGGTCAAGGGCATGTGCCTTGGTTGTGGGCACATCTCCGGTGGGGGGTGTGCAAGAGGCAGCTGATCGATGTTTTTCTCTCATCGATGTTTCTGACTTTCTATCCCTCTCCCTTCCTCTCTGTAAAAAAAAAAAAAAAAAAAAAAACAATAAAATATGTATTTTAAAAAACAAACAAAAAACAAAAAAACAAAGATAGACAAGTGCTTCGAGCGCCTTCAGATGCATCTGTCGCACCAAAACCTCAACCCGCCACCAGTACTGCTGCCGTGTGAGTGTGTGAGTGTGTGTGAGTGTGTGTGTTTGTGTGTGTGCATGAACGTGTGTTTGTGAGCGTGTGACTGTGTGATTGTGTGTGTGTGTATGCATGTGTGTGTGAGTGTGCGTGTGTGAGAGAGAGTGTGTGTGTGTGAGTGTGCATGTGTGTGTGGTGGGGATAAAGCAAGAGTAGACACGTGTGTGTGCTTTCGTGCACATGTGCGTGTGCATGCGTGCGTGCGTGTGTGTGTGAGTGTGCGTGTGTGTGAGTGTGTTTGCGTGTGTGCGTGAACATGTGTTTGTGAGCTTGTGACTGTGTGATTGTGTGTGTGTGAGTGTGTGTGTGTGTGTGAGTGTGCATGTGTGTGTGTGTGAGTGTATGTGTGTGGTGGGGATAAAGCAAGAGTAGACACGTGTGTGTGCTTTCGTGCACGTGTGCGTGTGTGTGTGCGCGTGTGTGTGTGTGTGTGAGTGTGTGTGTGTGTGTGACTGTGTGAGTGTGTGTGTGTGTGTGAATGTGTGTGTGTGAGTGTGTGTGTGTGTGACTGTGTGAGCGTGTGTGTGTGTGCATGTGTGAGAGAGTGTGTGTGTGAGTGTGCATGTGTGTGTGTGAGTGTGTGTGTGCGAGTGTGTGTGTGTGCGTGTGTGAGAGTGTGTGTGTGTGAGTGTGCATGTGTGTGTGTGTATGTGTGTGAGTGTATGTGTGTGGTGGGGATAAAGCAAGAGTAGACACGTGTGTGTGCTTTCGTGCACATGTGCGTGTGCATGTGCATGTGTGTGTGTGTGTGTGCGCACGTGTGTGCGCGTGGGCGTCAGGGTGGAGAGGAGGCACCGCACAGCCAGACTTCTCATCCCCACGGCTTCTCTCTCCTCCGCAGACTTGGCCAAATGCGTGTTTCCCTTCTGGTTCAGACGCACCATCTACTGGGAGTGCACCGACCATGCGGACCTGTTTGGGAGGAAATGGTGCTCCCTGACCCAGAACTTCAACAAGGATAAGGTCTGGAAGCTCTGCTAGGAGGCGGCTGACAGCGTCCTCGGGGAGTGACCTACTGTGTGTGCGGGGGGGGGGGGGGGGGGGGCAGGACCTGCTGGAGGTGCGGCTGGAAGGAGACCCGGCTGTGAGTGACGGGGGGTTTGGATGCTGGTGGGGGCTTTTCACATGGAAACCTCTCCCCACCTCAGCGCGTGTCCTCGCTCACTGTGTCGAAGGAGGCCCTGAAGGCAGTGCATGGACCGGGTGATAGTGAGTGTGAAGGGCATGGTGGTCACACAGGCCCAGTCTGGGGTGTGTGTGTGTGTGTGTGTGTGTGTGGATCATGGGGAAAGTGTGCTGACGGTGGGGCCAGGGAGTCCGTGAGAACTCGGGGTAGGTGGCTCCATGTTGTTGTGAATCTAAAACTGCTCCCCCAAATAAAGGCTATTAGAAAACGCATCGCCCGACTGGAGAATTCTTTAAAAAAAAAAAAAAAAAAAATATATATATATATATATATATATATATATATATATTTTTTTTTTTTTTTTTTTTTTTTTATTGACCCCAGAGAGACAGGGAGAGAGAGAGAGATTATGAAAGAGAATCATGGATCAGCTGCCTCTTCCCTGACTAGACGTCTTTCTTTCTTTCTTTCTTTCTTTCTTTCTTTCTTTCTTTCTTTCTTTCTTTTTCTTAAAAAAATTTTATTTTACTTTTTTATTTTTTTATTTATTTTCTCTTTTTTACAGAGAGGAAGAGAGACAGCAGTGGGAGCTTAGGAAGTGTCCACTGTGCTCGTGCCCCGCTGGTGGGTGTGTCCATCGTAGCAGATGCCGCATGAGCACAGGCGCAGTTACCCAGGCGTGTGTCCTGTGACCGGGGCTGGAGGCGTCCTGTCGGGTCTGTAAGGATGCTCGTCACTTTTCTGTTCATCGCCTGGGGACGCGGGGCACCGTGTCACAGATGGGTCTTCAAAACACAGAGGAAAATAAGAAACAAAATGGCTTACAACAGTGACAGTGAGCCGAAACCGGTTCGGCTCAGTGGATAGAGCGTCGGTCTGCGGACTGAAGGGTCCCGGGTTCAATTCCGGTCAAGGGCATGTACGTTGGTTGTGGGCCCATCCCCGGTGGGGGGTGTGCAGGAGGCGGCAGGTCGATGTTTCTCTCTCGTCGACGTTCCTGGCTCTCTATCTCTCTCCCTTCCTCTCTGTAAAAAGTCAATAAAATATTTTTTTTAAAAAAACAGTGACAGTGATTTGAAATACTATACATACATGTTTTAAGTTGTATATGTGTCACACCCCACACAGCTATTTCTTGCGGTAACACGTATAAAGTGGCATCGATGTAGTGGGTGGTTATTCTCATTGGCTAGAGCACTATAACCAGGCTGTATGACAGTAAATATATTAACAGTAAAACCCAGGGTAATAGTCACAGCATAACAACATCCAGACAAATCATATAGGAAGACCCTTGTGCGGACGGAGAGGGGCGGGGCTGGGATGACAAGAAGGACGAGGGTGGGACATGCTGTTTGAAAGGAGACCATTTGCTCAGTCTCTTTGCCCAGTCCTCCTTCAAGCTCCCCCCAGAAAAGGGGTCAGAGAGAAAGGAGGGGCTTCCTGGGGGGACTGGGCTCTGACTCCCTCTCCCCTCCCCTCTGTCACAGATCCATTTTCTGGAAGGCGGGGAGGTGAAGATCTTCAGCAGGAATCAGGAAGACAATACCGGAAAGTACCCTGACATCATCAGCCGCATCCCCAAGGTGGGTGTCTGCCACGCCCTTCCCTCTCTCCCCTCCAGCAGGGGCCGTGGTTACTGCTGCAAAGAGCCGGGCTTGGCCAGGCCAGCTCAGTGCAGCCCGGGAACCTGGGTCCGTGCCCACGTGTCTCTCTGAGTTTGGTTTCAAGTTGTCAGTGGACCTTGAGAGCTGCAGCAGGAAAAGGACATTTGTTCCCCTGAGTCTGCCTGTTGGCCTCGTCCTCGCCTCTCAGCAGCCCTGGGTCCCCTTCTCCTTTCAAATCAAACTCCTGTCAGTCACGTCTTTATTTTATTTTTTTAATATATTTTAGAGATATTTTACAGAGAGGAAGGGAGAGGGATAGAGAGCTAGAAACGTCGATGAGAGAGAAACGTCGACCAGCTGCCTCCTGCACACCCCCTACCTGGGATGTGCATGCAACCAATGTACATGCCTTTGACCAGAATTGAACCTGGGACCCCTCAGTCCTCAGACCAACGCTCTACCACTGAGCCAAATCGGTTTTGGCTGTCACGTCTTTCATCCTGGACACGGAGGCCGTGGCATGGGACCGGGAGAAGAAGCAGATCCAGCCCTTCCAAGTGCTCACCACCTGCAACGCGAGGTAGCCTCAGCCACTTCACTGCCTGCCACAGTCCCCCTCCCTCCTCCTCCTCCCAGGCCTGCCCGGTCCCCAGAGGGTCAGAGTGTTTGTCAGGACGCAGGTCTCAGCCTGTGCAACGTGGCTGCCACCACTCCAGCCATTGCATTCTCATCCCGGCAGACCAGGTAGGAAGTAGGAAGGGCTATTTTCCTATCTCCATGTTTTATGATGAAAAAGGGTCTATTCCACTGGAGCCTGTCCACTGCGGGCTCTCCAGCCATGTGCCTGGCTTCTTGTCCGCTCTCTGCCCACAATGCACTGGGAACCCCTCTCCTGCTCTGCTGACGCTAACCCAGCGCTGCCACAGTCACCTCTGGTCAGGTTTATGGCAACAGCCTCCTAATGGGTCCTCCCCTTCCCATCGCAGCTCTATGGAGTCTGTGTCCACAAACCAGCACTTCACATCACGTCCGTTTGAAACCTAAATCTGCCCCTAGCTGGTTTGGCTCAGCGGATAGAGCGTGGACCTGCGGACTGGAGGGTCACAGGTTCAATTCCAGTCAAGGGCACATGTCCGGGTTGCGGGTTCAATCCCCAGGAGGGGGCGTGCAGGAGGCAGCAGATCAATGATTCTGTCTCATCATTGAAGTTTCCCTCTCTCTCTCCCTCTCTCCCTCTCCCTTCTTCTCTGAAATCAATTTTAAAATTACTTAAAAATATAAAACGTAAAAATAAATAAAATATAAACCTGCCTTGGCCAATGTCGCCAAATGGTTAGAGTGTCGGTACCGTCATCCCTGATGTTTCTAACTCTCCCTCCTCCTCTCTTCCTCTCTGAAATCAATGAAGAAATGTATATTTTACAAAAGGATGGGCTGGTTGCAGGTTTGATTCCTGCCCTGGTCAGGGCACGTGCAGGAGGCAACCAGTCGGTGTGTCTCTCTCACATGAATGTTTCTCTCTCTCTTCCCTTTCCCTCCCTCCCACTCTTGGAATCCCCAAGACACATTAGGACCCCTCATGGCTCCTGTGTAACAAGAAGACAGAATAAACACGGGTGAGGTCGCAGAAGGGATGCCCAGCTCCTGTGGTTCGATGCACATGTTGCAGAAAAGAGAAGCTTTATTTATTTTTTTTAAATATATTTTATTGATTTTTTACAGAGAGGAAGGGAGAGTTAGAAACATTGATGAGAGTCATCAATCAGCTGCTTCTTGCACACCCCCTACTGGGGATGTGCCCGCAACCAAGGTACATGCCTTTGACCGGAATCAAACCCGGAACTATCTGCGGAGGAAAAACAGGATTTGGCATATTTTTTTTAAAGTACATTTTTATTTCTTTCAGAGAGAGAGAGAAGCACCAATGATGAGAAAGAATCATCCATCGGCTGCCTCCTGCATACCCCCACTGGGAATCAAGTCCATAGCCCAAGGCATGTGCCCTGATCGGGAATCCAACCATGACCTCCTAGTTCACAGGTCAACACTCCACCACCGAGCCACGCTGGCTGGGCCACACAGATTTTTTTAAAAAGATCAGTGGAGCCAAAACCGGTTTGGCTCAGTGGATAGAGCGTCAGCCTGCGGACTTGAAGGGTCCCGGGTTCGATTCTGGTCAAGGGCATGTGCATTGGTTGCAGGCACATCCCCGGTGAGGGGCGTGCAGGAGAAGGCTGACTGATGTTTCTCTCTCATTGATATTTCTAACTCTCTATACCTCTCTCTTCCTCTCTGTAAAAACTCAATAAAATATATTTAAAGGAAAAAAAAAAAATCGGTGGAATCCTAGCTGGTTTGGCTCAGTGGATAGTGTCAACCTGCAGACTGAAGTGTCTCAGGTTGGATTCCGGTCAAGGGCACAGGCCCACATTGTGGGCTTGATCCCCTGTGCGGTGTGTGCGGGAGGCAGCCAATCAATGATTCTCTCTCATCATTGATGTTTCTCTGAAATCAATAAAAATATTTTATTTAAAAAAAAGATCACTGGAAAGTGACAATATTTACATAGCTCAACGCCTCCTCACAAAATACTAATGTCGAAGGAGAGCTGTTTTTTAGAAGGGAAACCAGGCAGACACCATCTTAATCAAAGGATTATAATGAACATCACCAGTCATGTGTCAAATAGACATTACGCACTTCAATTCATATGCATAATGAGCTATTGCTCCTGCCAACCTCCCAGAGCCCAGCTCCCAGCAACCTCTCCCCTTGAATGTTTCAACGGTTTTTATAAGGAATGTGGTTTCACCAGGGGACGATGGTCTCTGCTCCCTCCGACGCCAGGCTCACCCCTTCAGTGTCTTATACTCCATCTCTTCAGTGTCAGCACCATCTCTTTTCCCCAGACTTGCCAGCTCCGTGCCTGGGCATAAGGCACCAACTCCTCTCAGGGGCACACAAGGCCTGCTAAGGTGACGAGACGTCCCCATTTTTAACAATTTGTCCCGCGTCCCGCGACGTTTTTAAACAGTCCCGATTTTTTGGTTTTTTTAATCGGGACTGTTTTAAAATGACGCGGGACAAATGTTACAAATCCGGACTGTCCCGCCAAAAGCGGGACGTCTGGTCACCTTCCTCTCGGGAGACACTAGTCAGTGGCAATGCACACAGGGGCTCCTGCCCACGGCCTGGACCAGATCCAGGTCCCGTTTCCTGGACAGTGGACCGAGGGAAGGGACCTCCCA